GTAGCTTGTCTCTTCTAATCAGCAGAAACCAATCTAGACAAGTTATAAAAAATTAAGATTGGGAGCGGGATGGTTAGAGGCAAAATAAGAAACACCTCTAATGCTGAAAACTTGCCAGGCAAATTTGACATTGGTTTGTTAGCAAGTGTTGTAGGTTGCTGGAATTTCATGGAAGGACTATATATTAAATTCAAAAATATTACATTTTGCACACATTGCTGATAGATTTATAAAGTAACACCTTGCTGCAAAATCTGTATTTTAAAAAGATGGTAATCTATAATCATTTTGGTGTTCTTATCATACATTTATGAGCAGCTAAACGTTTAGTAATGTTCACAGAAGTCATTCATCCATCAGCATTCATTACCACAGGAACTGTGCCCCTCCATAATAAAGGCTATTTACAATTGCAGATTTGGTCAGTGTTCCTATTTATTAATTCCTGGCCTTTCTTACCATTGCACCCTGAGGTAATGATGGACCGGATTCTGTGGTTATTTCCACTCCTCCATTGGACAAACATAAAAAGACCTAATTTCAGTGTGGCGCACTGTGACCCTGAGAAATCAAATTGCCTTTGAATTTGAGTTTAAAGAGTGTTTGGGGAAAAACTGCAGCTCTAAGTCTGACAGGTTGAGGATATCTCTAATGATTTAGATGGACTTTTGCGTATTGAGTGATGGTTTGAAATGATTATTGCTTAATTTGGGGAAATGCACCCTTTAGTTTAGCCTCTAGTAGCTGGTTCAATACTGTTGATAATTAAGTTGCTTAAGGCAGCAGTTTCTTGATCGTGGTCCGATAGCATAGATTGAAATAAAACAAATTTTGTGAGGCTTTTCAGTGTCTGAAGTAATCAAATTATTTTTTGTTTGCAGCAATACTGACTGGAAGAATATAGAGAATTTGTTTATTTGTTAATCTTATCTTTAGAGTGTAAAATAATTACTATTGCAGAATGCAAGCTCAGTAGGGAAGGATGAATGTTTCATCATGTGAGGAAGTATGGCTTTAAAGTGCCATTTAAACTTAATCACTCCCCTAGGAATCGCGAATTCTGAATAATAAACTTAAATATTCTCTTTTATAAAGATGTGCAATGAATAATGTTGAATTCATGATAATGTCCAATAATTCTCTTGTGACAATCACTGGTTGCTGAGTTCTTCCTTATTTGTGTAATAAAACAGAAGTTACCGCTGTTTTCTGTTCTGTTGTCTGGGTTCCATCAATTTAATTCTTCCACTGCAATAAAACTAAAATAAATTGCAAAAACATGACTGTAGCTTAAGATAAAGGCAGATCTTTACGCAAGCCTGGTCAGGGTGTGATCATGTTGCTGATGCTGTGAGACAGTTTGCAACCACTGCAAGGTCATTTTGGGAGGATTTTGTCCTTCCTTCAAAATGGGCATTGGGAGCCGAATGGCCTTTTAGCACAGTTACCTCATACTAAGTTTATATCTGGAACTTTTATTAATGTAATTGAGTTTATTACAGTACCCTTTCTTTGAGCATAGTTGCATAGATTTTCCAGACCTTGTAGCTTTTAAAACTGTTTCACTCGTTCAGAGCACACATGACCATCCAGTAGCAGACACTATAATTGTTGCCCTGAAGGGGCTGATTGGTTGACAATATTGAGCAAGTTAAACCATTTGATGAGATTAAACTCTATTAAGATTGTTTCTACATTCAACATATTTTACTGTACATGTTCTGTCACATTATACTAATCATAGAGATTATTAAACCTTCCAATAAATTAATTGCAGCGTACAGCTATCACTTTTTATGACAAGGTATCTTTCTGGATTCTCAGATATCATAATATCCAAATCTTGATCACTAATAAACGATTTGTTCTGATTTGATTTTTTTCCACAAGAAATGTAAATGCCTTTTGATAGCTTTATGCAATACATACAATTGAAATGCATTCTCTTGGAAGCTGAACTTGCAGATTTGAATAGAATTTAATTTGACAGGTGGCTTTGGTGGAAATAGATTTAAAGAGAGTAACTTTACGTTGGCAATTCTTATTTGCTTTCCATTTTACTTTGCTCTGACTTAAACAAGAAATTTTATTATACAGTTTGATAGTAACTAATGAAACTGATAGCATTAAATATTTAAGGAAATAATTATCTTCAACCACAGTTTAACATGCAATCGATGGATTCTCATTTCTGCTAGTGCACAAACTTGCAGGAATATATAATATATATATTATCAAATAAGAGGAATTAAAATTTATTGTTATGACTTTATTAACTTTTAATAAGCTATATTTCATATTAATACATAAAAATGTGTTTCTGGCTTAAACTGTTTGTTTAAAAGCCTTGGAATATGACACAGTTAGCTTGCAGTACATCCATATTCATCTTGTAATTTTGGTTGAAAGTTGGAAGTGGAAATCAGAGATAATTAGTATATCCATGAAAATCTTTCCAGCAAGTACAGCTTTCTCAATCCACCATGTACCATTGTGTTACACTGTACAAAATAAATGTTCATTCCATATATGTTTAAAAGCTAAAATAAACTAGAGTCAAATTCACAAATCTGGGTGACGAGATAATTGGAAGTTTTGATTAGGAGATTTGGGCACATTTGTTATGTTGATGACTTGGTAGAAAGCCAGACATTTGCTGCAGTTTGCTGCTCAATCGAAGAACCAGAATTTTAAAACAATAATTTTCCACTGAAAATCTAATTCTGTATTAAAATAAAATGAACAGTTATGTTACTGTTAGGCATCCCCAAGTTAATTATATTCAGTACATTTCTGTAACTGAGGGAAACAAAGCTACTGCAATGTGAGGTTATCTAGTACATTGGTTAGGAATGTCATTTTTATAGCAAAACCAATACAGTATTTGGATGTAAATATAATAATGATATCTAATACAAAATTGTGTCTTAGATTTTACTCTCTTAGGCATTTACTGATTCCATACAAGAGGAATCTAGTTATAAAGAGTCAAAAGTGAAAAGATTGTTGAGATGAGAGCAATAATAAAAATAAGTTGTATTGATTTTTAGCAAAGGGTCTATTTTCATTGCCTTATATTGATTCATGCCATTTTCTGGTTTGCCTTTTTCAAAGCCGCAAAAGGACCTTGAGGTTTTCTGGAGCTAGTCAAGGTAACTTGCAGGAGGACTGTATTGTCGAATAAAAGAAACCATGTCATTCATACAGAACAGACTTCTAAATATGTTTAGATCTATTGCATCTGAGGCAACTTCTGCTGTTCTGTGGACAAATAGCTAAGATCAGGCTTTGTTAATCTATGTTAATGGTGATCCTACATTTTAAGAAGAAGAATCTTGAGACTTAATTTTAACCTTTGTTTGTACTTTTTTTTATAATTCAGAAGACTTGGATCAAGACAGGAATTATCTGTCAACTATATATATCTGCGGCTATTTAAACTTTGGTAATTTAACCTCTTGAGAGCCTAATTTCAGTTTTCAATTTATGTACATTTTGCAATTTTCTGCATATATGGTGAGCGTTAAAACTGTAGTCGGAGAAATATACAGAGCTGAAATACATTTTCAGTGAAATCTTGAGCTTTTAACTTGCATTCTATGTCATAGTGCAATTCTTAATGCTCCTTTTTCACCCACACATTTATCTGCATCTTTGTTCTCCTTGGAGAATGTTACCATTTAGGTAATAGTAAGATATGTTACTACTACCATTTAGGTAATAGTATTACCATGTTTCTAATCCAACTTTTTTTNCTACTAAATGTACTGCTAGACTTTATCAGGAATTGAACCTACAACCTCTGGTCTTTGAAGCTAGATACTGAATTGAATAGTATCTTTATCTGAGGCTATCTAGGGAGGAATTTAGTAAAACCTTAACTGAAAGCTGTCACTACAGTGCATATCAGTACTTCAACATTCTCTGTGGTTACCAGGGCCCTTACAAGAGTGGTGATAGAGTGAATCAAGTTGATACTAAGGACTGTATTTCATACTGACGACGAAAATGAGAGCAGGATAGCTTACTTTTACTTGTAGATTTTCTGCACCAAAGTACTGAATATAAGCCATTGAATATGGCTTGTGGAATTTCAACAAACAGTCTTAAAGAGGAAAGTATCCCCATTCATATCTCTGAGGTTCATTCAAAAAATCTGAATTCTATACCATAAAGGTTGGGAATCTGCCCTTTAATAGAACAAATCTATTATTACAGTTTATACACTAGATGAACAATGAAAACTGAAAACATACCGTTATATTGATGAAAGAGTTGAAAAGGTTTGCATGAGGTCATTGCGAGTCTACAATATTGCTGAACTGTGATATACAATTCTATGTCAATATTACCAATTTTATTCATGCCTTGTTGATATCTTTTTAAGTATTTGCTTTATAAGCTACTAATGGTACATGAACTGAACATTAAATTTTGAACACTGCATCCCTAACTGTCCAGCGCATTGGGATGTCCTCCCGATGAGAAAGGCGCTATACATATGTCATTTTGTATTGTGCATTGTCTTTGCTGCATTAACTGATCTTATAGGCTTTAGTGCCAGGTAGAATGTATTGTAAAACAGTGACCCCTAATGTTTTTTTAGTGCCAGTAGATGTTTTGTGTTGGATTGTTGATTTACTTGTAGATTTGGGTATCTCAATGAGAAATAAGCAAATGTGAAAAATCAATGTATTCATTTTAATAGATTCTTCCATAATTAATCTTTTAAAATTAGTCTATTTCATCCAAGGGTGTGCAACAAGAATAAAAANCCCTCTCTCCCCCTCTCTCTCAACAGAATTGTTTCAATACAATTTTAAAATAAAGCTGCCGAGGTATAGTTTCATGGATAATATTGAGTATGGGGAGCTGCATGATGATTGTAATAAAATATAATGACTTATTTCATGTTGGCAAAAAAAGTGAGAACATGAGAGTTAATGATGTCATACCCATAATTCTCTGAAACATATTCATTTGTGCATTTCTTTTGATAGAAACTACTACTACATCACAATCCTACGAGACCCAGTGTCACGTTATTTGAGTGAATGGCGGCACGTGCAGAGAGGGGCAACATGGAAAGCTTCGCTGCACGTGTGTGATGGAAGATCTCCAACTCAGGAAGAGCTGCCAAGCTGTTACCCAGGAGATGACTGGTCAGGTTGCAGCCTGACAGACTTCATGGATTGCCCATATAATCTGGCTAACAACAGACAGGTCCGCATGCTGTCTGATCTCAGCCTTGTTGGATGTTACAATTTGTCTTCTATGGCAGATGACAAAAGAAACCAAGTTCTTTTGGACAGTGCAAAAAATAACTTGAAACACATGGCCTTTTTTGGCCTCACAGAATTTCAAAGAAAAACTCAGTATTTGTTTGAAAAGACTTTCAATTTAAAGTTCATCACTGCATTCACCCAGTATAATAGTACTCGGGCTGCCAATGTTGAAATTGATGAAGAAACTCAGAAGCGCATTGAAGAATTGAATTTTCTGGACATGGAACTTTATGACTATGCAAAAGACTTGTTTCTACAGAGATATCAGTACATGAGACAGAAAGAGCACCAGGAGGCGCGGAGAAAACGACAAGAGCAACGCAAATTGCTTCGGGAGAAGCAAGGCCACTTTAATGAAGAAGCTGAGAACTCAACAGCTGATTATATTGGCCATGTAGAGAGGTGGCGATAATGTGGCTGGACAACCTCCATTTTAAACTTGTGATCTAGGAAAATATTAAAATTTGTCAAGTTGTGCAAGCACTGAAAAAAGTCTCAACGTAAAATTGAAGTATGTTAAAACAGTCTGAGGTGAAATATGCCTTTGCTTTTAATCTGTAGCTGTAACTTAAATTTGCTGTTCACCTTCATTGTTCTCTATCGGTTTTTGTGCTTGTTTGACTGTTAGCTGCTGTGGCTAATTATGGGGAATACAGTCAATTTAATCACTTAAACAGTCTCATAGGTAAATTTACATTCATCTAAAATATTTTAAGGGAAATGAAATCAGCTTTCCATTAAAATAATGTTAGGAAAAATGACTACTTAATGTTTTGAACAAAAAAAATCGATTTATTTATGAAGACACCTACAGTTCAAGACTTCTTCAGTCAGTTAGTATTGGACATAACAGAAATTGGTTTCTACCTTGGCAAAAGATATTGCTCAAAATATTTCATATTTGTACACCAACTCAATCTGTCATTCCTTCAGAAATGTACATATATTGAATTCCTCCTGTTTTTTTCCTCCTCTTTTGATGGTGTTTACTCTTATGGTACGATTAGATGGTCTTCTGGTTCTTCACCCAAGCAGCCATTGTTTGTTATGTGAGCCTAGACAATGGCCGTATTAATTTCACCCAATCCTGTTCACACAACATTCACACGCTCATTTTCCAGCAGGAGGACCTGAGATAGCAATTAGAACTGGAAACTCTGACCCATTTTTTACCTTTCCATATCATGGGCACTGAGCAAAGTGTAGCGTCCTCAGCTGCTCAGTGCAGTCTGAGAAGGGAAACTGATCTTCTGCTCTGGAGGTTTAGGTCTATATTGAATGGTAGCCGATAAACCATGGGATGAGGAACCCGTTATACATCTTTTTAAATGTACTGTGTTGAGCTGACATGTTTAAGACCACTTCTTATGTTACAATGACTGTGCCTGATTTATATGGAGTTGCTAGAGAAATGAATTGTGTCCTAGCTGCTACAATTTTCTGATTTTATTTGGTTTTAATAATATGTGATAGTGTCTTCTTAGCTAGTTAATATTAGTTAGTAATTATTATGATTAATTATTCCTAAACACTCCAAATCCTGCAACTGTAACTTGAAATTTACACAACAAGCAGCTCAAAGGAACAAAATGACATGGAATTTATATTGCCTCCAGAAGATTCCACACATTGAATAATTGGGCTCTAATAAGTAACTATATTAACTATACATTGGTCAGTATTGTTCCTCATGATTATAGCACATCAGATAAAGTTTGTTTGAGAAAGAAATTATCTGTCTAGGGGAAGGGAGTAAAAATCAAGAATTCTGAGAAACAAAGCAGCAGAGTAGATACATTAATGTATACATAGAAGATAGATATAATCTAATGACAGTGTGTCAATCTGAGTGGAGAATAGGATGTAAACTGTTACAATGATGTACATTTGTTTTCCTTCTCTCCCCCCCCCCCCCCCCCCCCCCCCCCCCCCCCCCCCCCCCCCCCCCCCCCACCAATTGTTTGGAAGTGTTTGTTTCTGAAAAGCATTTTGATCCAGTTTAGCCTGAAGAAGTGCGGTATGGCGAGTTTATTGCTCATCAAGAATTCCTTTGCGTTATCCTTATGACATATCAAAGGAATGTTACAGATCAGCAGAGATTCCTTTGTAAGTTGTGGGTTTTTGAATTGTAAATAAATCTGTTACAAGAATTTTAATTCACTGTTTTCTAAAGTATGATATATTTTGTTGCATGTTTTGCCTTATTTTCAGAATCTTCCTCTTAATTCCTTGGATCATCTGAGAATATGTCTTTCATTAGACTTGCTACAAACTGTAGCTTTAGTGCATTAAAACATTTCCCCCACTATTTACAATTTTGAAGTACTGTTCAAGAAATATGGTGCAGCTCAAGACTCTGAACCATAGTTGAGAAAGTGATTTCATGAATCCTTGAGCAAGTGGACTCCAAATCTACATTATTCAAATAGGAGAAAAATCTTCTAATTGAGTGTTTTAGTTGAAAGAGTCATTACATGACAAAATACAAGAATAACCAAAGGCCTTTTTGTTACATTTGTAAATGTCTTCGGTTTATATAAATCTTCTTTGCCTCTTGCCTTCAAAATCCACCTCTACACCTGCAATTTATTTTGAAAAGACTCATCTTTTCAACTGCAATTTTGGTTGCCCCCTCGTCGTCCCCCCTCCCCCCCAGGCACCTTGTCATCTATGTGAAACGCTTTGAGCTGTCCTCCCAATGTGAAGGGCATCATTTAAATGTAATTTTAATCTGAGTTACAAAATACAAAGAAGTTCATGAACTGCCAATTGTGGGTAGTTGAATCTGATGCAAGATGGAAATGAGAAGTGGAACATGTTTTCTGGAACAATGCACAGAAGCTATACATTAAGTTGAGTATTATATATTCACTCTTCAAAAATTAATTTCTCTTAGGTGCATTTACTATTAAATTCAAATGACATGCAAATCATATTTTTAATATAAAAAATAAAGGAAAGTCTGACATTTCAGTGTAAAGTTAAATATTTTTCTAAAAACCTTGAGGCTTACAGCACTGAAATAAATGTAAGTGAACAAGAATGTACCCAAAATTAAAATTTAATGTTACCACTCAATTAACATTTAATAAAGAGAGTGTTGCAAGAGGCAAATATGCCGTGGCTTTTTGGTCTGTCTATGAGCAAAGATTTGGGAGATTGGACCTTGAACTTTCCCTTCTAGGAAATGGCAAAATAACTGATCAAATGGTCAAGAATTGGTACAACACATCCAGTAAGATGTGTCTGAATAATAATAATCCTTCAATTTGATATAATGCTATCATATTGTGAATACATCTCAAAGCACTTCACAAGATTTACTGTAAAGTGTAGTAACTATATGTAGGTGAATGCAGCAGCCAGTTTGCATACAGCGATATCCTATAAACAGCCATTAAGTTACTAACCAATTTTATCTGGGTGTAGCTAGCCAGGATACTGTGGAAAACTCCCTTCTGTTTTGAATAGTGCCATTGGATCTTTAACATTCCACCTCAGTAGCCATCAGACAGACATGTTCTACTTCTGAGGACTAATTTATTTTTTTTCCAAAGGGATGAAGTTCATTCAATGTTTCATTCTATCAACAAGGATCAATAGGAATTGCAGAATATCTGGGTTAAATCTAATATTACAGATTTTTTTTGACACTCAGGTGTTTTTTTTCTAATATTGATAAAATATTTTGCATCCCATGTCACATTTGCTATTTATTCTGTAAACAAAAAGGGAGAAATCAACTTGGGGTGCTAATATGAAGCTAATTTGTTTTGATAATTCTTTCAACTCAGCAATACTGGTATTAAATTCCAATATTGTCAACTGTGAAGTAGGCCTCATGAAAGATTCACAACCTTTTGTTAGAAATTGTTTCTAATTTTAGTTTGGCTATTTCATGGATGCATTCTTTATTCTATTGCTTTAGATTACAAGAAATCATATTGACACAAATTGCATAAAAGCTTGATATTGCTTTTTAATCATTTTGTCCACATTTCATGTTCTACTTCATTGGATCTAATATGTCTAGTGTTTTGTCTCCATGTGTTTTGTGAAGTTGAAATTTAATTTATGGATTATATATTCCATAATGATGAGCCACGTGTCTTAACAAATGGCTTCATTTTCTTTTTAATTTGAATGTGTGCATGAAGCCCTGGTTTACACTGATTCTCTGCCTTTCCATTTATTAACGTGTTTATTGTATATAGTGGTCTATTATTTAAAGGAAGAACAAAAATTGTGAATTTACAGGGCAGATTTTTACTTTATTTACACCATATGTGTTAATCCTAGATTCATGCATTCCAAATGTAAAGACTGATAAATAATGACATAATTTGATTATGTGACTTGAATAACTAGAACTGGGAAATAAAAATATATAAATTCAATTTCCTTGTAAAAGTATCTGTTTAGTGTTTGGATCAAATCAGCACACATCTCCTCTTTCCCCTCCTCTTCCCCTAAGCTTGAGGCCAGAGTTAGAAGCTAAGCATGCTTTTACTTTAAAGATGTTTGTTTCTTTGCAAGTTTACCAGATGATCAGAGGCACTAGTGTGAAGCATAAACACAAAGGGCAAAACTTTGTAAAGAGCACACATTGCAACTGAACGCCATGCAAGCAATTGAAAATGAATAATACCACTTTGATATAATCTTTCAGTCTGGCAAGTACTCTATTAATATTTAACTATAATCCAGCACCTATTTTGTATAATCTATGTTAAAAATTGCATCCCATGCTGAAACACAAATATATCCACTTACAAGCCCCTGAATCCCAATCAATTTCTAACATTTTCAATAGTTGCATTGCACCAGCGTGCATGTTTTCCTCGTTCACACAGAGAAGCCCAGACCAAAGTCTAGACCAGAGATATAGCAATACCAGTAGAGGAGTATCAACAATACCATCACATGTGAGCACCTGTCTGAACTAGTGCACAGAGTAACAACAGGATGCCAAAGCTATGGAAGTGAACAGTACTCCTCAGGGGGAGGAAGATACTGATCTCTGCTTTTGTTTGGGATTTTGCTATCACGTTTCTCTGTCTAATTTGAAGAAAACAAAACAAAATTCATCTACTCAATTGGTTACTGTGATTAGTTAAGTACGAGTGCTATTTATAGTTTGGCTGAATAATTGTTTTCTTAGTGAAGAGAAGTCAGGAGAGACGAATAAAAAAAAGGCAGAGGAACAAAAAAGGTAGAAAACTAGAGAGAAAGTAGTTAGCGGGTAATGCCTTTACCAACTTGGCCAGTGTCAGGGTTCTGAGGACAGTATAATTTAAGATTTAGCTGCTTAAATTCTGGAAGTGTAAATAAACTGTTTTAACAGCGACCAACAGAGGGCGATCTAAGTTTGCCAAAAATGAACTGTTTGTGATCATGTTTGTGAGCATTTCGTGTTGAAGGTGAATAAATGAATTTACAGTATATTTCATGTGGAGTATTTTTATGTTTCTAAAGTACTCTACTCACCGCAGTAATTATTGTGCTTAATAAACGTTTTGCATTAATTTGTCCGCTCCCTCCGCTCAGCGGACTCTAGCCTGCTACATGTCCCCCGCTTTGCCCCCACCCTTTGGAACGCCATCCCACAGTCTCTTCACCTTGGCCCCTCCCTTGGCTCCTTCACGGTCCGTATCAAGACCTTCCTCTTTGACTGCGCCTTTGGTCGCCATGCTATCCTTACCCTCCCTGCCCTACTGATCCCATCCCCAGCTCAGATGCAAATCTTGACTGCCCAGCGCCCTGAAACTTCCGACGTGAAAGGCGCAGTACAAATTATTGTTCTTATTTATATATAATCTACTTCCTTGGCTCCTTATATCCCATTGGATCCTTGTTTTCATTTTTAAATCCCTGCACGGTCTCACCCCACCCCTATCTCTGTGACCTCTTTCAGCATTACCAATCTAGCCGCTCCCTTCGCTCAGCAAGCACCGTATTGCTTCATGTTCCCCAGCCATATCCGCCCACTGTCAGCAGGCGGGCTTTCAACCATTCTGGTTTCTGGAATTCCATCCCTCTGACTTGCTTCATCCCTCCTCTCTTTCACAGCACAAAACATTTTTTGAGCATACTTATGGTTCTCTTTCCCCTCCCCAGGCCCCTCAGCTCCGACCCCCAACTTGTTAGGGTGGACGATTGATTATTTAAACATTAGAACAAAAGATTGCTTGAAGTATCTAATTATTACAAGTCATTGTTAGACATAAAGATCTTTGCAGTATTTATTGTAGATATTTACAATGAAATGCACATCAACCCTACAACAGCTAGATGTCACTTGAGCACTACACACTGCTAAACCCTCTATCCTGACAAGTAACAATCTGTACTGTACATGTAGAGCTTTGTATCTGTTAATTGAAATGGATAGGAACCACATATTTTGAAGATTATTTTACAACTGCTCCCCATCGTTTCATTGGATAGCAAGTCCCCATGAAGCACAACTTGATGTTGCAGACACAATATCAAATGCACCGATTATTATTTAAACACAAAGACCTAAAACAAAGTTCAAACCCAATAATGGATGTTTCAAGAGGTGACGTTTAATTTAGTTATTTATCTCTGCTCCACATTGTGAACACTGATATACCCAAAACTTAACTGGTGTTAACTGTTCAGGATACATTTGTTTGGCGCATTAGATTGCTCTTTTGAATGTTGATCAATGTAAAGAAAACTCCCAATTTTTTTTATTATTCTTAAAAGCACAATTACAAACAAGGCCAAGTGGAATATCACACATGAATTTGGGTGCCAAAGAGCTGTTCTTTTAATCCAGGACAAGTCGCATCTTAAAGAATTGAGAAGCAGATTAAATAAAATAGATACATCTGCGGTAGCTTTTTAAGGCGTGATGCATATTT